TCTGCAGCTTCTGAACTAACCCAGCAAGTGTATCGGAAATGATGTGGGAAAGACAAGGATTTATGATTTTTTTTAAAAAAAAGCCATCTGTTTTCAATGTAGTATTGACCACAAGGCAAATCTGATTAGGCCAAAGAGAAGGAAATGAGCAGCGGAGGTGGGAAAGAGAGCAAGGGCATGTTTGCCAAGATATAAAGGGTTATTGACTTCCCAGGCGCAAAAGGAAATATTTATCCGTAACTCTAACGACCACGCTGAGAATAAAGAAACATTATAGAAACAGCTTTTTGTTTAAAAGAAATCCAAATTTGTTTACCATAATTAGATTTAAATTAAAAAAAAACAATCAGAACTGTCACAGATACAATTCATGCCTGCAGTTCCTGGCAAGCCTACTGATATGTCAAAATAGCTCTGGCCTATCCACAGATCTTACCACATCACAGACCCAGGCTCAAAATGCCACATCTGAGCCCTGAAGGAAGGAGTAACTGTGGTGAGCACTAAGTCCCAGCTGGAGGACTATGGAGTAGGGTGGTGGGGTATTTTCTTAAAGGATTACATCAGGGGTCCCCAACCCCTGGGCCATAACCCACTAATGGGCCTTGAGCCATCAACGTCTTTTTTGTAATGTGGTGACCAAAACTGGATGCACTATTCTAGGTGTGCTCTTAAACTAAAGTTTTATAAAGTGGTACTAATACTTCACCTGATCCTGACTCTTGGTCTCCATTTATGCAACCAAGGATTGCATTAGCCTTTTTGGTGGCTGCTGCACACTGCTGGCTCATATTTAAGCAATTATCCACTAGGACCCCAAGATCCTTCTCACAGTTACTGTTTTTGAGCCAGGTTTCGCCTAATCTGTACTTGTAGCTTTCATTTTTCCTGTCTAAGTGTAAAACCTTGCTAGGCTGCATTAATAGAGGGACAGAATCAAGATCACGTGAGGCATTAATACCACTTAATAATGCCTTGGTAAGGCCACACTTGGCATATTGCATCCAGTTTTGGTCATCACAATATAAATAAGATGTTTAGACACTAGAAAAAGTGCAGAGAAGAGCAACAAAGATGATTAGGTGATTGGAGGCTAAAACATACGAAGAATGGTTGCTGGAATTGGGGATGTCTAGTTTAATGAAAAGGGTAACATGATAGCAGTCTTCCAATATTTGAGGGGCTGCCACAAAGAAGAGGGGGGTCAGCCTATTCTCCAGAGCACCAGAAGGCAGGACAAGAAGCAACGGATGGAAACGATTCAACTAATCTAATCAAGGAGAGAACCAACCTAGAACTAAGTAGAAATTTCCTGACAGGTAGACCAATTAAACAGTGGAACAACTTGCCTCCAGAAGTTGTGGGTACTCCAACACTGGAGGATTATAAGACGAGATTGGACAACCATTTGTCTGAAGCAGTATAGGGTTTCCTGCTTGAGCAGGAGGTCGGACTAGAAGACCTCCAAGGTCCCTCCCAACTCTGTTATCTATTAAACATTGTGTCATTCTGTCAGTGGCGTAGTGTGGGTTGTCAGCACCCGGGGCAAGGCAAGTAATTTGCCCCCCCCTCCACAGTGGGCGGCGACCCGGCGGCTCGGATCGGATTCGCACAGCCAGCACTGCAGAGAGAGTGAGTGAGCCAGGCAGGGGCAGAGAGCTGCGAGTGCGAGCGCGCCCCCCCCAGATGTTGCGCCCGGTGCGGCCGGCCCCCCCTGCACCCCCCACGCTACGCCTCTGCATTCTGTTACAGCTTAGTCCTAAGCAGCAGATCAAGGTGTGGCTGTGGCTTTTCTCATGCTCAGCTTTAAAGGAGGAGGAGCCCGGAGTGATTGGCAGCTGAAACAGGGCCAAGGCTAGACTTTCCCATGGGTGCTGCCCATTATCACTCCATAAGTGGCTCAAAGCAGAACAGGAGGTGAGTGCCAGACCGCAATTTGCCCGAAGATCTCCAGGGCACTTCAACAGTGGTGGCTGCTCTGCAGAGGCCCGTCCTGGGCATTTCAGACAGACTTTTTTTGCAAGCAAACGTGCACAGACATATAAAATACGCTTGTGATTATTCCATCTTTGAAGGCTAATGGAAAAATCTTTCAGACATAAACATCTGATAGCTTTCAATTCCCCTGTTAAGTTGGCCTTGCAAAGAGAGAAGCATGTTGCTGTCCTGGGGAGGGGGGGGAGTGATGAGCTGAGGCTGCCTCTCCATATTTCACACCCTGAGCTCAAAACAATTGCTTCTGCTGCCTCTAACTTTGGGCAGCAACCCACACACCACCACCCCCGTGCACATTGGTGTCTCCTCAAAACAAATGGCTTGCAACCTCCTTTTGCAAATGGAGGTGAAATCAAGGCTGGCCCACTCTGCTTGCTGCCAGATGTGAGGCTGGCCCAAGCACAACAGCAACAGGGTCAATGGAAGGGGTAAAAAGCCTGGAAGTTCCCCTTGCTGGTGGAGGCCCCTCTTCAATATGTGGTGGTATTAAGGCCTTGGAAATTGTTTGCATCCCGTGCTTCAGCTCAGCTCAGTTCCTTGCCTCTTCCTTCCCCACGGCTGGTCCAGGATTGTCAAACAATCGGAGAGCAGCTGGTAGGGTTGCAGTGAGAACGAAGCACCCAGCCTGCTGTAAGGAACAAGGATTGCATCCTGCATCCTGGCCAGATTTCAACTATGAAAGGGTGGAGAAAGTGGTCCTTGGACTTTTCCTGCCTGAAGCTTTGCACTTGCGGTTCTTGAAACACCAGATCTGTATTTTTACTAGAAAAGGGGTGCTTCACTTTGGAATGGGGTTCAGCCAATAAGCTAACTATACAAAGATGCACAGACTTTCTCAATTAATATGCCGATGTGATTGCTAGTCCCCTTGGAGTGATTCTTTTCTCCAAATTCTGCCAGGCGGTTTTCTCAAGAATTCCATACAGATATGCAAATATTATAGGAAGGCACATTCCTTTTTTCCTAATATCATCAACTTTTCACATTGCTTTCATAAATGGTTCAATTTTATAAACTATAAGGCATAAAAACCACAGCAAATTTTGCAAATAAGAGATTTGCAGATGACACTCTAATTTTGATTTTTGCATTACTTCAAAAATACAAAAGATGATACATAGGCCACAGTGGGAAATTTCTTTCCCATTCTGATTGGATATGTTTCCGTTTTAAGCCAACCTGCTGGTTTAAGATCTGCCAGACTGGGCTGCACTAGAGGACAATGAACAGGGAACCTTTCTGCGTCTCTTGGCCACTCTCCAGCGGTCTCCTGATTTTGGTGCCCAATCAGGGAAACTTATCTACAAGTTCCCTCTCCCCCCCCCGTTATTAACCCCCCCCCGTGCTTTCTCAAACACTGTCTTCATGCAAATGCTAAATGTGACAGCAGAGAATAGCTGAACGTTGTTAAGTAGAAGCCACAAGTGTGTGCTGACAGAGCCAGAGCATCAATGGAGCTAATTAATGATATTCCTGGCAATAGGGCCATCGATGATGGGGGGGAATTAAAAGCCCCAGGTTGGCATTTTTGCTCTCAACTGAATATTAATTAAGTCCAGGAAATGTCGCTCTAATTAGGATGCCTACAAGAATAAGCCACCACATAAAGTTACAAGTTGTGCTTCTAATGATCCAGAAGAATCTTGGAGCCTCTGCTTGCGCTGTGCTGAGTTTTCCATCTCTCTCTTCCATCATGCAGGAAATTGCTCAAAGTTCTCTAATTTCATTGCAAAAAAGCAGTCTTAGGGCATTTTGTTGGTGTTTTATTTTGCCAACTAGTTACACAGAGGTGAAGCCATCCATCGGCGAACAGATACGGCCCAATCCAAAATCATACCACCCAGGAAATTACACTAGTCCTCATCTTACAGCAGTTCATTTAGTGACCGTTCAAACTTACAACGGCACTGAAAAAAGTAACTTACTTTTGGGGAAGCATAACTGGGAAGCACACCCAGAGGAGGCCTTCTTTGTGGTCCCCTCTCCCCTTTCTTCAGCCTTAAACAGGCATAGGCAAAGCCCCTGGAGCAGCAGTGAAGAGGTGAGGGGTGAATCCACCTGGCTGGAGCAGAGATGCTTTGGAGAAGTTCACGTAACATATTTAACTATAAGCTAGATTGACAATTGCACCATTATGAATTTCCTGTGAATATGTGAATGGCTGTGGAGCACAATTTGCAAGCTGGCATTTAGAAAAGAAAAAAAGACAGAAGGGGGAACTGGATAGCGGTTTCCGAAGAAGGAAAGAAGCTCAGATGCCTCCTATTAAATTAACTGATTATACTAAGCAAGCTCCCTGTTTAGACTTTCCTAAAAGTGTAATTCACGAGAAAAATAAACCCTGCGAAGTTCCAGATTGGTATCATTATGGATTTGTTTTCCGCTCTCTGCCCCCGTCCTCTTGGCTTGGAATGTACCCCGAGCCCCTCTGGCCGCCAGCCCAGGGGGGAGAGCGAGGATTGAGGTCAGAATATTGGAAGTATGTGGAAATAGAAAAGGAAGGGATGGGGACAGCGAAAAGCCCTTAATACACACAGTCCTTGACCCACACCCACAACTGAGCCCAAACTTTGTGTTGCTGAGATATTTGTTGAGTGCATTTTGCTCCATTTTATGACCTTTCTTTCCACAGTTCTTAAGTGAATCACTCCGGTTAGTAACAACGTTGTTAAGTGAATCTGGCTTCCCCATTGACTTTGCTTGTCAGAAGGTCGCAAAAGGGGATCACAGGACCCTGGAACACTGCAACCGTCATAAGTACAAGCCAGTTGCCCAGCGTATGAACTGTGATCATGTGACCCTGGGGATGCTGCAACGGTTGTAAGTGTGAAAAACGGTCATAAGTCATTTTTTTCAGCGCCACTGTAACTTTGGTCACTAAATGAACTGTTGTAAGTCAAGGACTAGCTGTAGTGGAAAGCACCACACGAGATAAGCCAGGAAAGTGAATGCAGCCTTTTATGCAGATCCCACTTTTGACCACCCTTTGTCTTTTCTCCCTTTAGGAATGAGATATGGCAAGGGATCTCAGGAAGCTAAAAGAGTAAGCTACCTTCTCCTTTCCTTTTCTTTCTGACATCCGTGGGGAAGGCTGAGTGAAAGGAAGACAGCCTGAAGAGGGAAGGATGTTTCCTTGAATGCAAATCACCTCATTACAGCCTCTCAGTTTATTAGGCTCTTCAGATATATTTCTTGAAATATACTTTTGGGGGGGAAGTTGCTTAGATTGGATAAATCGAATGCACATTCACAAGAAAGATTGCACGTAACCACATTTTGCATCAAGTCTGGCTAATCAGAAACCTCTTCAGGTCACCCAGTTCAGGTCGCTCTGAATGAAAAGGCCCTGGTGAGAATCCTCCCCCTGCTGTCGCTTTGCTCTTTGCAGACACCTAGGACTCCTCGGAAGAGGGGCAGGGAAATTGAGTCCTGCGTTTGGGAATCAGCTGGAATAATTCAAAGTCCCTCCTTGCCCCTGTTGTTTACGTAACTGCAAGGGAGAGCCCTGGTATTGGCTGGGGTGAGGGGAATTGCCAGGGGCGGTTGCAAACCTGGTAAATTTGAAGTGCCACTGGTTGCCATCAGTTGTTCTAATTAACTATCAAATTTTGCACCTTCCCCCAGCCGAGCTGGGCCACCAAGCTAGAAAAAGCTGGGGACCTCTGTTCTAGCGTTGTGCCCGTCTCCTCTCTGCCCTGGGTGTCCTTGGATCAGGAGGAGGTGTAGGTGTGGACTCCACCTCTTCCTCCTCATTGCTGGAGCCTCCGGGCCAACTTGCTGCAGCTGTGTCTTGCCTAGTACAGCCTCGGCCTGTCACTCCAGCTGAGGCTGCTCCGTCAGGCTAGCACTCTCCGAGCATCTCCATGCTTTCCTCTGCAGACTCAAACTCAACCTCCTCCACCTCTGAGCTCACATCTGAAGAGGGGCCTGGGGGCGGATCCATGACACACTGCCACATCCTCTAGAATGATGTTCCATCTAGGGCAGGGGTCTGCAACCTTGACAACTTTAAGAGCTGGCTGAGGAATTCTGGGAGCTGAAGTCCACAAGACTTAAAGTTGTCAAGGTTGCAGACCCCTGATCTAGGGTATGTCTAGGAATCCAAAAGGCCTGACAAACTGCTTCATACCCCTGAAGGGTGATCACCCAGAACCTCAAGATCTGTCCTCCAGTGTTTCAGAGTGCAGGATGCAGAAAAATACAGATAATCCTTGACTTACAACACTCCATTTACTTTACTTAAAAATACAGATCATCCTTGACTTACAACAGTCCATTTAGTGACCGTTTAGTTAAAATGGCACTGAAAAAAATGACATAGGACCATTTTTCACACTTGACGAACAATGCAGCATCCCCATGATCACGTGATCAAAATTCAGACACTTGGTGACTGACGCATATTTACGACAATTGCAGTGTCCTGAGGTCACATGATCACCTTTTGCAAACTTCTGACAAGCGAAGTCAACGGGATTCACTTAACAACCGTGTTACTAACTTAACCACTGCAACGATTTGCCTAACAGTTGTGGCAAGGAAGGTCTTAACATGGGGCAAATTTTACCTCACAACTGTTTCACTTAACTGTGAATGGAGCCCCAGATTTGTGTTGTTTCACATCACAACAGAAATGTTGGGCTCCGTTGTGGTCGTAAGTCGAGGACTACCTGTATTAACATGTTAGAAAAAATGTTTCCCTGGCCACGGAGGAGCCACTGACCCAGAAGGAAGCTGAGGTCCCCTTTATCGCTGAATGTGCTCACCCAGATGTCAAACAGCCACTTGACTGATGTGTTTAGTGGGATTGTTGCACCGAGCAAAGGGTTGGACTGGATGGCCTCAGTGGGCCTATAAACTGGGAATCGTTGTAATTTAGCAGAAAAGTGAGAACTCTGCAGTATAGATAGAAGTGTTATCTTCACTTCGACGTGTCCCTCGAAGTCCAGCCTTGAAAGTGTGGGCATCTGCCTGGAGGGGGAAACGAAGTCTGCAGGGTGGCAATGTGGCATTGTGGCCCCTTTTGCCATACATGCAAAGCGGGGGGGGCTTTAAAACAGGGCCGGGGCTGCCATCTTCCGGCATCTGCTCTCCCCCACATCCTGCAGTCTGAAGGCAAAGGCTTCCAAAATGAAAAGGTCACTCTATTGGCATCTGAGGTTTGAAACAACAGTGGTTTTTATTTTTGAAAAGGCAACTGGGCTGATTTTTTGAGGAAAACAAGACGTTTTGCTTCTATCCTGGAAGCTTCATCAGTTGTATTGAATGCTGTTATTGACAGTTGAGATTAGTCAGTGGGAGGGGGGCAGACAGGCTCTGACTGGATGGGGGGGGGATGGAAAGGATGTGGGTTTTTTTTCAGTCAGCTGGGGGCCATTGTCTTGACTTGGGCTTTTATCTATGATCTCAGGGTCACCTGAATCAGAGGTGTGGAATCTGCCTTGTAAATTGGGGGGTAGGGGGTGTCTTATCCCTCCTCCTCTCTTGAGAGAGAGCTGCTCAGTGTTAACATAAATGGCCTCTTTTCAAAAATAAAAAACCACTTTTGATACAACCGTGACCTGGATGACTGAGAATCTCATAAGATTTGAAAATATAAAACCTGTCTCCTTGCAGGGCTCCCAGGTTTAGCTCTAGAACTGATGCATATATTAATAGCAACACGTTCAAAAGCAGAAGGTAAAAAAAATAAATACCATTACTGCAGCCTCAGTGCTGTGTGTAAAGCAATGCGCTGCCTGCCAAGTTTGGCTAAACTAAAACGGCACAAGTCGCTGGCATCCTTAGCCTCTGCCAGCTGGCGGCCGTGGTTACTGCTGCCTCCTTGAGTAATGCCCTGGTTCTTCTCTTCCACTAGGAAGGCGCATCGAGCAACAATCAGGGCGGGAAGACTCAGGCAAATGGAGACGACTCCTTTCCGATGGCAAACCAGCGGGCCTCTTTACACCCCATGCGAGATGAGTCCGTGAAGCCTCGAAGCTCAGGCCAGGCCCGGAAGGCTTTAGCAGGGACTCAAGACAGACAGCGGAAAGGTCCAGGCGCAAATTCCACCTATCAACGAAAGAGGAAATTTGTCCTGAGAAGAAGCCCCCTCCGGATTGCAGTTAATGGCTCCTTCCGCAGCCTGCCCCTCCTGAAAGCTGAGGCGAAAGAGGAGCTGAAGTGGAGGAGCCTCTACGAGGTCCAGAGAGAGAGAAAACGCATCATGAGAGACACGTGCTCCAAGTACAAGAGCAACAACAAGAGAGTCATCACCCCTTATCATGTTTCCAGGATATTTGTTGAAGATAAATATCAAATTTTATATTGTGAAGTCCCTAAAGCCGGCTGCTCCAACTGGAAGAGAGTGCTCATGGTTCTTAATGGACTGGCCTCCTCAACCAGGGTTATTCAGCACAATACTGTGCATTATGGGAATTATCTGAAGAAGCTGGATGGTTTTGATCACAAAGGGATCAACTACAGGCTCAGTACTTACACTAAGATGCTCTTTGTTCGTGAACCTTTTGAGAAGTTAGTGTCGGCATTTCGAGACAAGTTTGAGCATCCCAACAATTATTACCACCCGGTCTTTGGCAGGCCCATTATTTCAAAGTATCGCCCCAATGCCACCAAGGAGGCCCTGAGGACAGGCTCTGGAGTAGAGTTCAAAGAGTTCGTTCAGTATCTTCTCGATGTGCACCGGCCGGTTGGCATGGACATCCACTGGGATCACATCAACAGGCTGTGTAGTCCTTGCTTAGTGGACTATGACTTCATTGGGAAATTTGAAACCATGGAAGAAGATGCTAACTTTTTCCTCCATTTGATAAATGCTCCACAGAATTTGACTTTCCCTAGATTTAAAGACAGACATTCCAACGAAGAGAGGACAACCACTCAGATCACACAACAATATTTTACACAGCTTTCTCCTTCTCAAAGGCAGCGTAGTTATGATTTCTATTATATGGATTATCTAATGTTTAATTACTCAAAGCCTTTTGAGGACCTTTATTAAGTGGAGGTGAGCTTTTGGTTGCAGCTTCGTGGAGCTCCTCCTATGCAATTTTGTGGAACAGACGTTTATACAAATACATAAGCTTCATGAATGAGCTTCATTACACCAGAAGGTTAAATTACTTGATCTGTCATCCATGTTCCCATCAATCTCCAGTTCTCCCATGGGTGTCTGTATGAGGTTGGCAGAGTGGGAAGGCCGATAAAGTATGTCTCACAATGTAACAATCCAAGCTTCACCCCTTCTGTTTTGCCTGGAACATCACAAAACAAATTCAGAGGGATGGAATTTGCATTAACACATCACAGGGCACACTTCATCCCCTTGGCACCATAATGGTTAGGAACATTTTAATTTAATTTAATCATATTTGTTGTGAAAGCTCTGGAAGCCTTACAAAACTCCCAAACAATAAAACAGTTAAAACCTACAGAAAGGGACAGCCCTGACCAAAACGGCTATAAAGCAACACAAAAATATGAGAGGATCCCCATCAGCATATAACAAGCATATTAAACCCAGACGTGGGAACAGAGCCAGGCCTTAAAGGCTTTCCAAAAGCCTAAGAGATGGGCATTATCCAGGCAATATCTCTGGGGGGGGGGGAGGCTATTCCAGATGGGGGGGGCATGACAAAGAAATGCTTCAGAGGACAAGATGGCAACTGCTGAGTTGAAGAGACCTGGAGCACACCCACTCCGCCCTGATGTACCAGGCAGGCTGAAGCAATTGGAGACAGGCAGTCCCTCAACTAAGTGGGTTCTGGGCTATGAAAATCTTTATAGGTGGTAAATAAATAACCTGAACTGCACCCAGAAGCCAACTGGCAAACTCGGCAGCTCATGTAGCAGTGGGGATTCAAAACATCGAATATTGTACCAGCTACAGCTTCTGGATGGTTTTAAAGGCCAGCCCCAAGTAGAGCCTATTGCTGTAGTCCAACTGTGAGGTGATCAGGGCCTGAGTGACCATCAGAAGGGCTTCCTGGTCAAGGAAATTGTATAATCATTACACAAGATGAACCTGTACAATACCTGCCTGCCCACAGTTGTCCTTCAAGCAGGAGATTAGAATTGTAGAGGACCTTCAGGCAATGCATTACAGTATCTTGAATGGAGAAGGGCAACGCTATCCAAGGCCAGCAGTGGAGATGTCCACAGCCTAGAAGGCACAACAGCTACTGCTACTCGGTCTTCTCAGAATTGACCCAAAGTCTGTTCTTGTACTGCCTGCTCCCCTCCACACACACAGACACAAATAGCAAACGTCTGCAGATGTCTATTCAAACCCCCCAAACAGGTCCTCAGAAAGCAGCCCCATCGCACAGGTCCAGACTCACAGCAAGAGTCATTGGGTAACCAAGTCCAACAGGCACACACAAAATCAAGGAAAGCAGTCCAGGAGTCAAATGGGTCAGGATACACAGCACGAACACACAAGGCTCAGAACTGGCCATGTTGCTCCAGCAACACTCAAGTCCTCAGGGCAAGATTTAGTAGGCAATGCTGGTGCAGCCCTTCATGAGAGGCAAGGTTGCCTCCTTATGAAAAGTTTAGCTGACCGGCATTGTGCCTGTCTTCTATGTGTCCTTGGATCAGGAGGAGGTGTGGACTCCACCGCCTTATTGCTAATGGGTGATAGATGCTCCCGGTCCTCACCTGAAGCCTCCTGGCCAACTTGCTACAGCTGTGTCTCACCTCACTCAGCCTCCGCCTGTCCTTGACTTAGGACACATTTGAGACCATAATTTTCATCGTAAGTCATGGTGATTGTAAGTTGAGCTGCACCCAATTTTACAACAATTTTTACAGCAGTCGTTAAGCAAACCCAGCTTTCCCAAGGGCATTTTTTGCCATGGAGGCACAGTGATTAGAATGAGGTACTGCAGGCTGACTCTGCCCACAGCCAGGTGTTCAATCCTGATGCTGCAACCATCATAAATGTGAGTCAGTTGCCAAATGTCTGAATTTTGATCACATGGCCATAGGGATGCTGCAGTGGTCATAAGTATGAAAAATGGTCATAAGTCACTATTTGCAGGGTCGTTGTAACTGAACGGTCACTAAATGAGCTACCTGTAGGTCAGGAACTAACTATACATCCTTTCACTTGCTCTTATTATGTCAGTAAAAGTTTATACATTTTAGCTGAAATATCTTCATCATTAATACTGTCAGAACCCATATTCTAAGGGGGCCCTTTTCTACCTTTAATTCTAACTCTACTCTCTCTGTACTTCTGGATTCTGCTATGCTCCTGGAGGGGAGGGGAGGAAAGCAATGCAGGTTATTGCTCTGTTTTCCTCTATCTCTGCACTAACACTTTGCTGTTTCTGCATACTTCCTCTGTGAACTATCTCTCCCCTTGATGTCAGCTAGAAGGGGGGAAGAAGAAAGGAATGCGCCTCTGGCCATCTGGCGTATCTCCACTTTCGGAAGGGAAAGTGTAAAAGAGCCAACAAAACATCACTGCAACCCTGAGACAGACTGGCGTTATCTGTTCTTTCCCACAACAGACTTAACACCTGGGGATTGGCCCATGTGAACTGACCGGATGAACTTTGGGGTGGGGTTTGCTTGGGACACTTTTAACCTATTGATCTGACCGGGAAACCCTCAGATCCTGTAATGCCCCTTTCTAAGTTTTTGTCTATGAATTTCTGCATTTCTTCCAACCAAAAAAGCTAATACAATCCTGGGTTGTATAAACAAAGGCATAGAATCAAGATCAGGAGAAGTATTATTACTGCTTTATAAAGCCCTAGTAAGACCACACCTGGAATACTGCAGCCAATTTTGGTCCCCATATCACAAAAAAGATGTTGTGAGTTTGGAAAAAAATTCAGAGAACAGCAACTAAGATGATCAAAGGCCTGGAGGCTAAAACATACGAATAACGGCTGCAGGACTTGAGTTTGGCTAGTCTAAAGAAAAGAAGAAATAGGGGAGACATGATAGCAATATTCCAGTATCTGAGGGGCTGCCACAAGGCAAAGGGGGCCAGGTTGTTCACCAGAGCACCAGAGGGAAGGATGAGAAACAATGGTTGGAAACCTATCAAAGAGAGAAGCAACCTGGAATTAAGACACATATACATACAGATACCATTAAGAAAACATTTCCAGGCCTGTTGCTTGGCCTCCAAGAAGTGAGAAAAATCAAGATGGAATTCCAGTCAAAATGTGACGTTGGGCCCTGAACCATCGTCTTATTTTTCTCACCATTCCAAGCCCAAAATTAATTTTCTGGATGGCCAAATATTTAAGAAACACATCAATTTGGGGTTTCAGGCCAAAGCAGGTCTCCCTTTTAATTTTTCTCTAAAAAGGGAGGGGAACGTTTATGGGTGCTTCCAATTTTTCCCAGCAAATTCAAAGGACGGTGGGGAAGGACCAAAAGGAATGTTGAATTTGGGGCCCTTTGCAGGTGTGAAGGGGGAGGGGAAAACTCCAGAGTGCAGCCTCCTCTCTTCACGTCTGATAACAGGGATGGTTTCCAAGGACAGTAGATGGCGCCAGTGCCTAACAGAAAAAAAAATTGTCCGTTCAAAGAGCCAGATTAGAGAGAGAGAAAACCTTTTTTTGTTGCCCAGGCCCACAACGGACTTCCGGAAGTACATCCACGCAGAGAACCGATTGTTTACATATTTGAATCTCACCACTGAGTTCAAGGCTATCCTCTTGCACTAACTCAGTAATAAATCCTATCAAAGCACTTTTATCAAAAGTAAAACAGTAAAAAATAAAAATAACAGAATAAGAATAAAGACTGTCCCCCTAGCTAGCCATTGAAAACTTTCATAGATCCTCTCTTTTTCTAATAAGTCTTTAAATCTTTAAACTGAGGTCTCTCTTGTATTTTTCTAGTTTCCAAAGAACACTTAGCTTACCACAAGGAGCCCTATTTTTGCTGCAAAATAAAATCTGTCTTCAACAATAATTACTTCTTAAAGTGAATAAAAGATGGGGAGAACAAGGCTGTAAAGTCTCTAACAGTTTTTCTGAAGTTAGGAGCATAGAGAAAATTCAAGGGGTGCCAACACCTCAAGTCTCAATCTAACTGCAAAAGTTTTTCCATTTCTGCAGTTTAGTCAGAAGGAGCTACCATCCAGAAAACACATGGTTAATCTGTTAATCTCCCTTTGATCCAGGGAGATAAAAGCCAACCAGAGATCTCTGCCCAGGGGCTTTCAAAAGCTGCAGTGGCTCTCTTCCCTTCAGAGAACTTTGGATGGTATCAGGGTACCATTCCTCACCAGAAACAACTCTTTGCTGTTTTCCAGTTTTCATGATATCTCTTTCCACATTTTGTTTAGTTTCAAATCATTTTAAAACCAAGAAATACAAATATATAATTGTCACTTTAACAAAGGACTTTCAGTTGCTGATGCCAGTTAGTGATACATGCTAAGCATTTTTTAAAAAGATCCATCGCAGAATCATTTCTCAAACAGAGCAGGAAAGTGATAAATCATATTATNTATTATACCTTTAAGGCATATACATATGTACCTTAACTGTTTCCATCACTATAGTTTTTTCAATAATTTCTGCATTTAGTGTATTGCTACATCTAATGGCAGTTTTCCTAATAAAAAATTTTTCAGTGCCTGTTTGCATTACATAGTAATGAAAGTTGGAGAATGGGGCACAGAGAATTCTAAGTGAGCCTTGACTCCTCAATAAACAGATAATCAGGAATTTGAAAAAAATGCTATTTTTGTAGGTGGTTCCAGCTCCCTTCAGGGAATTTCAAAAGAGGGGAATAAACGATTCCATGTTAAACTGTGATTTGAAGGATGCACCAATGGAAGACAACTGCTATGTAATGAACACAAGAGTGCAAAATTAAGCCAGATGTTACAGTTTGTAGGATGTGAATATATTCTGTTCCATCTACAGCTCCCTTATGGCATATTTGTCTGCAGAAAAAAAATGGAACATAGCACATTTACATCTTTATGCATGCTATTAAAATTATTTTAATCCTTGGCATTAACATAAATCTTTACTTTAATCTATGTAGTCTCAGGGAATATCAGATGTTGCTTTTAAAGTAGCAAATAAATTTAGACACAGCTTCTTGCCC